TTCTGATGCACAGTAAAATTTGAGAACCACTGTAATAGAGTTTAAGACTTTTAAAAATGGAAACTCAAAAGCATCCATAAAGTTGAGAGGATGTTGAGTCTTAGGATAACATAGAGAATGAATGACTAAAGCCCTAAAATTTTGGGAGAGGGGCACTACAAATTTGGCTCGGAGCTTCCTAATAGCCAATGCAAAAAAGAAATATAATCAGTACACTGTACTGGGCCTGTAAGTAAGATTTGTACAACCAATCCTTGTGCTGAGATTCAAAGAAAATTCCTCTGTCTTCATGAAGAAGTAAATATATATTACAACAAACGATATGCTTAACAGTATCCCTTTAGTAAGCAAAACAATGAATTTCTGAAGGTTAATTTTTTGGCCATCGACCTCTTAATTAAATCAATGATGGGGCAAGACTTGGGATTTCTACTGAGTATGAGATCAAAATATATGATGGGGCTCTATGGTCTGCATCAGTACAGAAGTAGGCTGCCTGAAGGACATTTTTATCATACTGTTTTTTGTCCAATGGTCTGTCAATGTTTGGATTTCCAAGGTCACTGCTGAAGATACCTACAACCTGAGGAAGGAAGATGGCAAGATATCTAAAATTCTTTCATTTGAACCCTTGCCCTCAGTAGAAGAATAAAAGACAAGGAGCCCTGTATATGTCCACTTGTCTCTGCTTTGCTTAACTCCTTTAGGTCAATTTTATCTCAAATTGGAAAGTTAACAAACTACAGCTGATCTGATCTCTGTCATCCACTTAGTGGTATCCTTTAAGAAATCATTTGTGTCTTTGATATTGCTATAGTATCCAAAAGAAATGAACAGATCCCAAACCACAATGTTGGGGAAAATAACTAGCAGCCTACCGTGGATAATAGAATGACAGCTTAGCAGTCAAAAATTCAAGCTTGGAAGTCATATAAAAAGGGCTTGTATCCCACATCTGGTACCTACTTGCACAAGGTACTTTATCTTCTCAAGGCCTCACCTTTATCTTGCAGAAAAGAGAGATTAAAATAGTTCATACCTTAGGCCTCACATGTAGCATCACCATCATGGGAGATGATGACTCTAGTAGACTCTAGCAGATGAACTCCACCAGAACACTAGCAGACTCCAGTAGAACACAACATGAAGACAGCTAAGCAACCCTGGGACTTTACAGTGTTAACATTCATCGTAATAGATAACAGAAAACATGGAGGCCAAGGCCAGCTTGCCTTACTTTAGCTTCTAGATAGATATAAGTATCCCAAGTTAGTGTCTTTTATGATGACCACCAAGCATCTCTCCCTCTCTAAACTTTAATTTTGATATTTTAAGCAGAGCCCACTGTCTGTGTGGCCTTGGGCAAATGACTTATTATCTCTAAACAATGATACTGTTTTTTTTTTTTCTGAAAACACAATGAGGTCATTGGGTAAGATTTAGGGTTATTGATTGTGGTATTTGCTTTAATGTATATCTTTTGGTTTTATGAGACAGAGACCACATACATAGCCAAAACTAAGAGGTTCTATTATAAAGACGTGTGCAGTAACTACAACAAAACTCGGAAATCAGAGAGCAGGAGGCACGCCAGGGCTGGGCCTCACAATGTGTAGAGATTGGTTCCTCCCATTCTTGGTCACAACAGTGAAAACTGTAAAGCCTGACCCTGGTGAAGGTTTTTGGGTTGACTCTACTGCTCTCAAGTTTTTTCTTTTCTTTAATTCTTCTACCTACTGGGTTTTCACTTAGCTTCCCCAAAGCACAAGTCAACTAGGTCTCTCAAGCTCAATTCTATCTTTTGACATGCTTCCTGATAACAAGTTGTTCACTTGCTGCATGTTTCCCAATTCATAGTTTTTGAGCGAACATCCAGTTCCTTTATTTCATGCTAAGGAATGGTTTCGGCTTAGATTATGAATGGCCACTCCTCCAACATTGGGTCCACCACTGGTGTAATCATCTGTCAAAGAGATAAGCTACAAACATGGAGCCTTGGGCGTGCTTCTTCAGCAAGGATGGTGGGTAAAGTTCCCACAAAGAAGTCGATGTTATGTGTAATGGCTCAGATTCTAGAATTCGCTCGAATTCTAATCCTGACTTTGACAGTTTCTGAAGATGTGACCTTAAGTTATTTAAGCTTGCTGAGACTCAGGTCCCTCATCTGAAAAACAGGTATGATAGTTCATACCTCATAGGAGTGTGGTTGAGTTATAAATAACAAAAGTAACGCACTGAGCACAGTTCCTGCCACAAATCAAACCCTCACTAACTGCTCACTATATCCATATCAGGAGGTGGTGTGGGCGGGCACCATGAGAAGGCCGGCCTACAGAAAGGTACTCCATCAACAATTGTTCACTCTCCTTTGTGCTGAGATAAACAACACTGACTCCTTCCCTGTCCCCCAGGATATAACTGCTTCCATTTTTTTCCTGAAGATGGGTGGCATTTTCCATGACCCTGATGGGATCACTGCATACCCCAGTGAGCAAATAGGATGATACAGGATTTCACAGTCAATTTTAGTCCTTCTCCCTGGAATTGGGTAGCTGGCTCTCAGTTCACCATCACCGTGCCCATTTCATTCTGGGTGGAGATTGAAGGCAGCCCTATTGAACAGGGTAATGAGTATGCATGATGATGCCTTCACCTGGGGGCTGGCATGTTTACCAAACTGTCAAGTAACTTCTTCTGGCATTTCTCCATCAGGGTCTGGGGAAATCATATATTTTCACACAAAGGAAAAACACAGTGTGCTGAGATGGAGTGTTTGATTTGGGACATAGAAATTCCCTTTAAGTTATGTTTATTTGGTGGTGTCAGGAAATGGGCTATTTCACAGAAATGAAGCTTATAGACAGGTGAAGGTTTCCCATTTCAGTTCTGAAACTATTTTTAACCCTTGTTTAATGGAGTCTTACTAAGTTGTATTACATACTTCTGCCTTCTTAAAAGAGGTTGCAAATTTCAAGGCTAGTGTTTATTGAGTACTTACTATGTATGTGGCACCACATTTACATGATTAACTCTCATTAATTTTCCCATAACCCTGTGAGATAGGTATTACCATAACCTCCATTTTACAGAAGAGGACATTGAGGCTTAGAGAGGTTAAGTAACTTACCCAAGGTTACACAGGTAGAAGGTGATGGAGTTGGGATTTGTGCCCAGGACTCCCCAAGCCCTTTAGAAACTGGCCATGTTACTGGAGAACACTTTGGTTACTAAATGATCCTAATGGCTATTAACCTCCAAAGTTTGACCTTTGGAAATCCACACACACATTTCAGAAATATGTCCATTTCTCTGAGCATCCCTTGGCCACTTTTCAAAAGTAGTATGCAAACCGGCAGCACAGACTTTTGAATATTCAGGAATATTCCCTCATTCAGCAGATGTTCCTTGAGTACCCACTATGTTACTGTGCCAGGCATCCTGGAGGCAAAGGAATAGGAGGCACACAGCTGCTTTCAAGGAGGGCACACACTAGAGGCACTCCAGTGGGACAACATGTGAAACTTGCCTGCTTTGTGAGCAGGAAACCCTTGAGAAGATGGTGATTTTTGAACGTACCTGTCAAGGCAATTGTCCTCCTCATCAATACCCGCTCTCTATGGATCAAACTGATGAGTTAAGACCAGGTGGAATTAGATGCTTCCTTGGCTCTAAAGAGGCCAAGAAAGAAATAGGTGCGCTGTGTTTAAGAGCTAGTTCAAGTTATCTTGCTTGGAAAAGAAGCTGTGGTCAGATGTTAATGGGCGTTGGGCCAGACCAAGGAGTTTGGTATCTATAACCCGACTCTTTCTTAGATGGTGGTTTATAAAACCAGGAAGTCTATTAGAACCACATCTGGCGGAAAAAATACATGTTTAGCGGGATGTGTTTTCTCATTTAGTTAGTAAATGGGTGTTAAATGCAACTCCCAATTGTAGCTCTTAAAAATATATACAGTTTAGACCTAGCTGGTTTGTTCAGTGGATAGAGCCTCGGCCTGCGGACTGAAGAGTCCTGGGTTCAATTCCGGTCAAGGGTACATGCCTGGGTTGTGGGCTCAGTCCCCAGTAAGGGGCATGCAGGAGGCAGCTGATCAATGATTCTCTCTCATCATTGATGTTTCTATCTCTCTCTCCCTCTCCCTTCCTCTCTGAAATCAATAAAATTACATTAAAAATGTATATATATAGTTTAGAGCATCATTACAATCAAGTATACGGTTTTCCAAGGTGATGACTTTGACATACTTTAACGATAATGTTCTTATCTTAAAAGTAATATGTTGATAGAAAATATGGAATAACTTCTCTCATCCAGAGATATCTAAAGATTTTAAAACCAGCCCTCCATTATTCCTACATCCCGTGGTCCATCCCTGTGATCTCTCTTCTTCGAGTCACCCTCCTTCATCTGGACATAATGTCGTCTCTTGATGACTCATATTCACCATTATGGGTGCTGTTTATGGCACCTCGCTGATGTAAGTTCGTGTGATAGTTGAAGTGTGTGGTTCTTTTGAGACCTTTTAAATTAGGTCTTTTTTCTCCTAGTTTGGCTAATGGCCATTATGTCTGGCTGCTTTCCATGTGTCTTCCTATAACTTCTTCCTAGTGTATTTTCTACCCATGATTAAGTGCTAGAATGGCTAATGACCTGGCTAGTTAATATGTATTTCTAAAGTAAGAGTAAGCTGGATCTGAGAGAGGGTAAAGGGACTTTCTTTTGAATTAGCGTGTAAATTCTGCAATGGCTATTTTAACTGCCAGGAAAGCATTACTTGTCTATAGAGATAATTGAGTTTTGCTTTATTGGCGACATTGAGCTAAGTGATGTTACTATTGGGCACTCTTGTCCAGAAGGAAAAAGAAAGGAGAAAGAAAGGAGAGAGGAATAGGGGGAAGGAGTAAGAGATGTGTAGGGAAGGGAAGAGAAGAAAAGTCATGCCAGTGCTTGCTTTGGGATCTCATTTTGAATTTCTCTCTTTTCACATTTGCTGATTACAGTGGTTTAAACTTCATTGACTTGATGGTGCGACAAGGGAATATCGACAACCCTCCCAAGACTCCTCTGGTGCCAGGTTTTGAGTGTTCGGGGATTGTGGAAGCTCTGGGGGACAGCGTGAAAGGATATGAGGTAACATTCTGACTTTTGACTGAAAGAGTAATATTAATCTGGAATCCACTGAGATAATGAAAGATTATGCAAAAATGCTTGACATAATCAATCATGTGCATTGTTATTGATGACTTATTGCTTGGTTTTATTAACAATGTTTATAAATGATAGAACTTTCCAAAGGTCTCATGTACCATCTGGGTGCTCCTGGCAACAGTCTGGTGACCAGAGAAAATCTTGTCATTCCCTCTATTCATACTATACAGTTATTAAATAAGAGTATTTGGCCTTGGTTTAACTATACCCCCCCTCCTCCCACCTATGGATCACACTTTCCCATCACTTGTGGCTCAAAAATCAATTATAAAACACAAAAGTTGGGGAGAAATAGCCTCTATGTTTTTATGTTTTGATTCCGTTAACTATCTACTTAACTGATACATTTAAGTGATCATTTATAATCATTATTTTAGACAGTGGGGATATGGCATTTTGGGGTGAAATTTTTTTTTAATATATTTTTTTATTGCTTAAATTATTACAAAGAGTATTACATATTTCTCCTTTTTTTCCCCCGCCCTTGACAATCCCCTGGCCTCCCCTACCCCCCAGTGTCTTATGTCCATTGGTTATGCTTATATGCATGCATACAAGTCCTTTGGTTGATCTCTTACCACCTTGGGGTGAAATTTTTAAAAAATTTATTTTTATTGATTTCAGAGAGGAAGGGAGAAGGAGAGAGAGGGAGAAACATCAATGATGAGAATCAACGATTGGCTGCCTCCTGCACACCCTACACTGGAGATCGAGCCCATGACCTCCTGGTTCATAGGTTGACACTCAACCACTGAACCACGCTGGCTGGGTTTGGGGTGAAATTTTAAAGCCACAGGGTAGCAGTACCTGACAGTGAGGCGGAGTTGGCCATGGGTTGATGGATTGGGAGTAGAGCTGTGGATAATGAGGGTTATTAAATCATTCTGACTACTTCCATACATGTTCAAAATTTTCCATAATAAAAAATTTAAACAGTGAAAAGATATAGGACTCTTTCTCCCATTATAATGCAAATAAACTAGAATCTGGTCTATAAAATCTGAAAACTGTGGGCAAATCAATCACACAAAATTGCAGTAGTTTGGAGTCAGAAAAACCAATGGAAATTAGGTACAAGAGCTCTCTCTTATAACTAAGTGCTTCCCCAGAGAGACATGAATGCAGCTAGCATCTGAGAATCCACCATAACCAGAAACACGAGCAAGTTATCTTTTTTCAGCCTCACCACAGCCCTGCGAAGTAAAGATTGTTACCGTCTCCTTAGAGATGAGGTTCAGCAGGGTTTATTAATTTTCTGTGGAGTCCAAAAGGTGGCACATAGTAGTAGAACCTGGATTCGGGTCACCAGAGCATTTTCACTCCCCCATGATCTTTGCCCGTGCTCACAACCTGCAAATGCTGCAATACTAAGTGCAGGAAGAAACATCCTATAAAATGCAATGCCACAATGCCCTTGGAGTTGACTTGGATCAGTCTCAGTGCATCTGAGCCTCAGTATACTCTGAAAGTATCACTATGCTCCAAGTTCATTATGATAAATGTCTAGAAATATCGTCTCACCCTCATTCTTTTTGTCCATGATTTTCAGATAATATAGCAGGAAAGTGTTGAGCAAGAAGTATGTGTGCTTTTTCTTTTCTTGTATATGACTTTACATTTTCTGTCCCCAGATAAGCAATATAACAGAAGCAGCAGCATCTCTCCCCGAAATTGCTGCATATAAGAAATATTATCTGCTCCTCACTCCTCCATAGGGTCCCAAAGGAAAAGGTCATGCTACTAACTCTATCAGTTCTGAGCACTGGATAAATAACCCATTATTTTAGAATATAACAACAGATAGGGATGTTGTTGACTTTGGTGTAGAGGGAGGATTTACTCTGCTTGATTATATATATTTTCCCTTCTATATATGACCTTTCTTCCGCTAGTTAGCTCTGGCGTGCATATTGTCCAACCTACCCTTCACCCCCACTTCCCTCCAGTAACTTTCAGTGACACAAATAAAAGACACCACCTACAGGTTTCCAGTCAGGGGATGATTTGGGAGAAAGCCAATACTGAAATTCCTTCTATAATTTTGATTTAAGATTTTCAATCACATTAGAGATGAATTCCATGCAGCAGCACACTAATAGCTCTCCTGGTTGATCGATTGCAACAGAGGCTTGAAAAGTTGTTGCCAGAGGCACAGCAGTAAAGGAATAATTCGGTCTCCATCACCCAGGACTATTTTTTTCTTAACAGAATCAAATAATGAAATGAATTGGATTTTTTTTAAGTTGCCTACCTCTGGACTCTGGGACTGGGGCTGGTCTGATGGCTTAGCCACTTTTGCCAGTTGATAATGAAATGGAAAAGAGGGAGGCAGTCAGCCCTGCTCTGGTGGCTGTGACCCTCACTGTCAAGGTGGTTGAAATACTCTTCATTCCACTCCATGTTGACTGGAGGCCATTAGCCACTCTGAGGTACTGAGTCTGTATCTTTGAGTTTTCATGATTCTGTGCAGAAGAGGAAGCCAGTGTTAGACCACAGTGATCCTCTGGCCCAAGTCGTTGCATTTAAGGTGATATTCCCAACATTCGTCATTTGGTCTTCCACATTCTCAGGGATTAAGACACTCATTGCCAGTGGGACAGCCGCTCCTTTCCATCAGCTTCATAATTAGACAGCTACTCCTTCCGTTTCATAAAGTTTACTGGGTCTATATTTAGCTTTTGATCATTAAACAGTGAATTCCATGAGATAAAGAGCCATCTGTTCTTTGTAAGTCAACACTGATTGCTCTTTCCTCATTTTACATGTATACTGCCTAGTGCATTGCATGCATTTTATGTTACTTAATCTTCATAAGAACCCTTTCTAATATTAAACCCATTTGAGAGCTGAGGAAACTGAGATTTAAAGAGTTAAACTAACATTCCCAGACTTGTAGGATCAACTGCTGGACACCTTATATAACTTTATGTCTTCTTTGTAGCCCTTATCTCAGGTGTAATGAATTATTTTATCTGTAGTCAGCCTTCCTAGATTCAAATCCTGGTCCAGATGCTCTCTAGTTACATGACCTTGGGCATATATTTTAATCTCTCTTTGCATCAATTTAAATGTCTAAAGTCTACATCATTCATCTGTAATATGGGATTCTTATAGACCCCATCTCATAGGAGCCTTTTGCAGTTTGTTGAGTAGGGATAGAAGAGAAATGCTGAGCTACAAAGAAATTAAAACAGCAGTAGAATCCATTATAAATATATATACGACAACACACGTATAGGAAAGCCATTAATTTATTGAGAATTTATTAGGACCACAGCAACTTGAGTATTGCATTTGAAAGTCATAGTACAAGCCACTAACATAAATAGCAGAATGGCTCGATTTAGCTAGCACTTTGCAGCTCCTACAAGCTATTAGTATTGGTTCACTTATTTTTTTTTGCTTTAGTAATGATAAGGTTTGAAAAAAATTAGCATACCATTATAACCATTTTAACAGGATGATTGCTCTTTTTCTTTTTTCTTTCTTCCTTTTTTTTGCATGGTGTTTGGCTATGCAAACTACTGATAAATAAAACACAGTACTTAGCCATGCCTTTATAGGGGTTTTGTACAGATTACATGAGTTAAAACATCCGATGTTTTTAGGACAACGCCTGCCATATAATATATGTCCAATAAATGATAGTTGTTCTCACACCCGATAGCATATTCCTGTTTGCCTCTGAGCCTGGTTGCTCTTGTTAAGTCTCCTCCACTTAATTCACATGGCTCTTCTGATGCACCGCATTCCCGTCCACAGTGATCGGTAACCCATTGCTAACCTTTGATGCAAAGGCCAGAATGTACTAGTCTGTCAGAGCATCCATGTGGGTTGGCAGAGAACAAACAAGAGTCGATTTTACTCCTAGCCTCGGCCCATTAACCTTTCTTGTGGCTCAGTTTGTCTCAGCTCCAAAGCAGAGAGGTTAGAGGAGAGGTTGAGCTAATAACATGACCTGACACTAACATTCCATGGTGTGCGATGTGCTCCACACTGTATATTTATGCTTGAGAAGAGGGGTAAAGAACCTGGTCTCCATGGTCCCTGGGTAATGTTTTATAGATGGGCTTCAAAGCATCCAAAAATGCCTTGAAATTGGGAGGCAGGTGATGGGTGCATATTTGAGGGTATTTGTTTTTTTTTTCTGGGAAGGAATCTATAATTTTCATCATATTATTGAGTGTTTTGAGAAACACCTCAAAAAGGTTAAGAAACCTCCACTAACCCTGTGCTTCCCTATGCCCAGATCGGGGACCGTGTCATGGCATTTGTCAATTACAACGCCTGGGCAGAGGTGGTCTGCACGCCCGTGGAGTTTGTCTACAAGATCCCCGACGACATGAGCTTCTCTGAGGCTGCTGCTTTCCCCATGAACTTCGTCACAGCCTACATGATGCTGTTTGAAGTCGCCAACCTCCGAGAAGGGATGTCTGTGCTCGTGCACTCGGCTGGTGGCGGCGTGGTAAGTTGGCTGCTTGTGATGCCTCTTCATCAAGGCCATGCTGGTGAAAGTGGAATGACACCCAAGTGACAGTGAGATTCCTAGGTGAGCTATTTCCAGGAGTAAGGATGATCTCTGGTGAAGCTCACATGGATGGAAGAGATCGCATAGATGATTGATTGTGTTGTGGACAGGGTGAGCCTCAGAGATGGTTTCTCTGGAGTTTGGGAAGGTACCCAAGATGGCATGTTAGGACTCAGTGGGTCTCAGAGATGGTTTCTGTAAGCAGCACTCTCAGTCTTGGTATGATGATGAGCTGTTTCTGTCAATCACTGTGAGATGCCTCACGGTCCTGCACTACTATTATTTGAAATGCCAAAATGGTGGATGACTTATTCTTTCAATACGTTGCCATGAATTCAGGATTGTTCCCATATTAATGACATCCTTATTCATTTGTGTTCTGATGTATTTTCTTGAGTGGGAGAGAGGGAGACTGAGATAGTACTAGCACAATAGGAATCTCACATAAACCTACTAGTAAGTACACCCATGAGAGTAGTTGCACATGAGAATGTCATCTGTCAGGCATGTCTTTGACAAGGGGGAAAATAATTGCTGCTCTGGAGTTCAGGGATGACAGAAATTTCTTTCGTGGCTTGGATGTGTCTCAGTGACAGCCACTCAGTACATACTGCACGCCTGCCACATGATAAGCCCTATGTTCCCTTCATGGTTTACTGTGGTTGGAGTAGAACTCCAGTCTTTCTGAGAGTGAGAGGTATTACTCATTAATTCAACAAGTATTTGTTGGATACATACTATGTTCTGGACTCTATGGGTGAGAGATTAATAAGAGAAGGTCCTGATATACTATCTAGTACAGGGGTGGGCAAACTTTTTGACTCGAGGGCCACAATGGGTTCTTAAACTGGACCGGAGGGCCGGAACAAAAGCATGGATGGAGTGTTTGTATGAACTAATATAAATTCAAAGTAAACATCATTACATAAAAGGGTACGGTCTTTTTTTTTTCAGTTTTATTCATTTCAAACGGGCTGGATCCGGCCCGCGGGCCGTAGTTTGCCCACGGCTGATAGGATTTGAGAGGTTCTCTGTTGGAGATTCTGTAGTTTGATGAACTCAGAGATGTGAACTCTTATGCTTGGGTCTAACTTGGAGATATTTTCACTGGAGGTCATGCTAACATTGATTTTTTAAAATATTGAGTTTCTACCATTACCAAAACCCTACAATGTATAAAACATTTTTCCTTTCTGAGAAGATAAGTTCACATACAAAAAAACAGGAAGGCAAAGAGATGACACTTGAGGAATGCCTTAAGAGGAATATCTTCAATCACTTTAGCAAATTTGCTAATGGCTTTTGACCATGAATAAAGATATAATAAAAGCTAAACATCCCTTATAAAAGAAATAGATTTCAGTGCCAGCTAGTGTGCAAACAGCAAGCAAGCCATTTAGAATCCTGGCATTTATGATCTCAGTGTGCTCAGCATACAAAGCGTTGGCGACTTGTTTTTATATTATCAACATAAGCGCCAGTCTTTGCGATGAGGCTAAACCCAGTTCTCCTGAGAGTCAGTTTCTAAACATGAGCACTGATGATGTTTCCTTTTGTGTTTTTATATTTTTCATTTAAATGTCCACATTCCTGGAACAAAGAGGCATGTGTCAGGAGCATGTGTCTCACAAAAGAGAAAAAAATCCTGCAAATAAAGGTTTTTACTATGCCATATTCTGGGCTTTACAGACATTACAATATAATAAGAACTAAAATGTGAAACAGATGAAGCAACTGGGGAAAAGGACAATAAGGGTAGGAAAATAAGTTGTCACACATAATGCGGGCTATGATGTCCTGCAGTGGTTCTCAACCTTCCTAATGCCGCGACCCTTTAATACAGTTCCTCATGTTGTGGTGACCCCAATTTCATTGTTATAAATTGAACATAATTAAAGCATAGTGATTAATCACAAAAACTATATGTAATTATATATGTGTTTTCCGATGGTCTTAGGCGACCCCTGTGAAAGGGTCATTCAACCCCCAAAGGGGTCGCGACCCACAGGTTGAGAACTGCTGTTCTAGAGAGAAAGGTAATTTATATTTTTTGGAAAAAGTTTAAAATGTTTTGCTGAAGATGGACAGTAGTCTTGGTACTTAGCTTCCTAATACTGTGTGCAAATAGGGGAAAATGACCAGCGATGTGAATACATAGTATGTATTCAATAGTGTCCACTTGGTGGAAATAAACCAGTTATTACAGAGAATTATAACTAGTACCGGGTTTTGATAACTGGGGAATAATTCTCGGTGGTTTTTCATAAGAAATGTATGCAGAAATATGATGAACATCCTCAACAAACTGTTACAGTAAATGCCATTATTTCCTTGATTCTTTTTTTCTAAGGTGTATCTCTAGTATAGTCCAACAGCACCAAAGTAAAGCAAAATATAGTGAAAGAAAGCAGATATCCTGGGGCCAAAAGGAAGTAGTCTGTCTTGATCTTAGGTCAGTTTAAAGGTGTGGTTGGACTGCCCATCTCAAGTGAGTGGGTCTCCTTGAATAGTGTTTCTCCCCGTGCAAGATTTGATGGGTGATGTGAATCACTGAGTTCAAGGTTACCATTAAAGGAATGACTTCTGGCCAAGTGCACATTTATATATATGAACACTCAAACAAGTGGTGGTGGAGTTGACCCTGTCTTACAAAATCTAAGGAAGCCTAGGGAGAACCAAGACCTTTCCACTGTGCAACGGTGGGAAGACCAGTGAGTCACCCTTAGGTAGAAATAGATTCCTTCCAACCAGTCACTGCTCTTGTGGTGGAGGATGCTCCCTGGGAGCACTTTTAAAAATATATATATATATATTATTGATTTCAGAGAGGAAGGGAGAGGGAGAGAGATAGAAACATCAATGATGAGAATCATTGATCAGCTGCCTCTTGCACACCCCGCCCTAAGTATCAAGTCCACAACCCAGGCATGTGCCCTCACTGGGAATCCAACCATAACCTCCTGGTTCATAGGTCAATGCTCAACCACTGAGCCACACCAGCTGGGCCCTGGGAGCACTTTTAATGTATTATCTGTGTTACCTGGAGGGGAATGGAGATGCTTCCCATCGCTGTTGGACCAATCTGATAAGTGCAGCCACTGGCTGCATGGTTACTGTGACAGGCAGGATAATACCCCTCATTCCCCTCATAGACATCCATGTCTAATCCCTGGCACCTGTGAACATGATACCTTACACGCCAAAAGGAATTTTGCAGATGTGATTAAGGTAAGGACCTTGAGAAGGAGAGATTATTCTGGATTATCCAGATGAGCCCAATGTAATCACAAGGATCCTTAAAGATGGGAGAGGGAGGGAGGAGGGTCATAAAGAGGTTTAAAGATGCTACACTGCTAGCTTTGACGATGGAGAAAACACCATGAGCCAAGGTATGTGGCAGCCTTCAGACGCTGGAAGAGACAAGGAAATGGATTCTCCCTCTGGAGCTTTCAGAAGGAACACAGCCCTGCTAACACCTTATTTTAGCCTAGTGAGGCCCATTTTGGACTTCTGGTCTCCAGAGCTGTACTATAATGAATCTGTGTGTGTGGAGGGGGGGGGGGGTGGTTTGAGCCACTCAAATTGTGGTAATTTATTATAATAGCAATAGGAAATTAATGCAGATATTTCTCTGGGCTGCCTTCCATTTCACTGTGGAGAGCCCACAGAGGCCTGAACAAAAGCAAGTAGCAGAACTAGGATTCATACCCTAATCTGGCTGATTCCCAAAACTAATTCTCTTTCCATTTTATAACCTAAGATGGTGGGAGAACCCAAGTCATTCATCCCTTCATTTATTCATGCATTTAACAAATATGTGCTCAACTTCTACCCAGTGCTAACTATAGATTTAATTTAATTTAATTTTATACTGTGGATGAGGATTTTCATTTTTTTTCTTAATTGAACTTGTAGGGGTTACGTTGGTTAATAAAATTAAATAGGTTTCAAGTGTACAGTTCTATAATACATCATCTGTATATTGTACTGTGTGTTCACCACCCAAAGTCTAATCTTTCGTTACCGTTTGTCTCCTGTTTACCCTCTTCTACCTGCCCCCAACCCCCTTTCCCTCTGGTAATTATCCTACTGTTATCTGTATCTATGAGTTGTTGTTTTTTGCTTAATCCCTTTATCTATTTTACCCAGCCCCCAGCTGTCAGTCTGTTCTCTGTATCTATGTTTGCTAGTTTATTTTATAAGTGAAATCATATGGTATTTGTCTTTCTCTGGCTGGCTTATTTCACTTAGCATAGTATCTCCTAGGTCCATCCATGCTGTCCTGAAGGTAAGATTTCCTTCTTTTTTACAGCTGCATAGTACTGCATTGTGTAAATGTACCACAGCTCTTTTATCTACTCACTAGAGGCCTGCGGGGATTGGGCGAAACCGGCAGTCTGACATCCCCCGAGGGGTCCCAGAGTGTGAGACGGCACTATGCAAAGTTGCTGTGCTCGGCAGCTCCTGCATTGAGCGTCTGCTCCCTGGTGGTCAGTGCGCATCATAGCTAGTGGCTGGTGGGCTGGTCACTTAGGTTTTTATATATATAGATGTACTGATGGGTACTTGGGCTGCTTCCAAATCTTGACTATTATAAGTAGGGCTGCAATGAACATAGGGGTGCATATATTCTTTCAAATCAGTGTTTTGGGTTTCTTTGGATATATTTCCAGAAGTGGAATTGCAGGATCATAAAGCAGTTCCATTTTTTATTTTTTGAGGAAGCTCCATACTGCTTTCCACAGTAGCTGCACCAATCTTCATTCCCACCAACAGGGCAGGAGGGTTCCCTTTCTCCACCTCCTCACCAACACCTGTTGTTTGTTGATTTATTGATGGTAGCCATTCTGACAGGTGTGAGGTGATATTTCATTGTGGTTTTAATTTGCATTTCTCTGATGATTAGTGAGGTTGAGCATCTCTTTATATGTCTATTG